GCCATGTCCCTCCATGCTGCCATGTCCCTCCATGCTGCCATGTCCCTCCATGCTGCCATGTCCCTCCATGCTGCCATGTCCCTCCATGCTGCCATGTCCCTCCATGCTGCCATGTCCCTCCATGCTGCCATGTCCCTCCATGCCTGCCATGTCCCTCCATGCTGCCATGTCCCTCCATGCTGCCATGTCCCTCCATGCTGCCATGTCCCTCCATGCTGCCATGTCCCTCCATGCTGCCATGTCCCTCCATGCTGCCATGTCCCTCCATGCTGCCATGTCCCTCCATGCTGCCATGTCCCTCCATGCTGCCATGTCCCTCCATGCTGCCATGTCCCTCCATGCTGCCATGTCCCTCCATGCTGCCATGTCCCTCCATGCTGCCATGTCCCTCCATGCTGCCATGTCCCTCCATGCTGCCATGTCCCTCCATGCTGCCATGTCCCTCCATGCTGCCATGTCCCTCCATGCTGCCATGTCCCTCCATGCTGCCATGTCCCTCCATGCTGCCATGTCCCTCCATGCTGCCATGTCCCTCCATGCTGCCATGTCCCTCCATGCTGCCATGTCCCTCCATGCTGCCATGTCCCTCCATGCTGCCATGTCCCTCCATGCTGCCATGTCCCTCCATGCTGCCATGTCCCTCCATGCTGCCATGTCCCTCCATGCTGCCATGTCCCTCCATGCTGCCATGTCCCTCCATGCTGCCATGTCCCTCCATGCTGCCATGTCCCTCCATGCTGCCATGTCCCTCCATGCTGCCATGTCCCTCCATGCTGCCATGTCCCTCCATGCTGCCATGTCCCTCCATGCTGCCATGTCCCTCCATGCTGCCATGTCCCTCCATGCTGCCATGTCCCTCCATGCTGCCATGTCCCTCCATGCTGCCATGTCCCTCCATGCTGCCATGTCCCTCCATGCTGCCATGTCCCTCCATGCTGCCATGTCCCTCCATGCTGCCATGTCCCTCCATGCTGCCATGTCCCTCCATGCTGCCATGTCCCTCCATGCTGCCATGTCCCTCCATGCTGCCATGTCCCTCCATGCTGCCATGTCCCTCCATGCTGCCATGTCCCTCCATGCTGCCATGTCCCTCCATGCTGCCATGTCCCTCCATGCTGCCATGTCCCTCCATGCTGCCATGTCCCTCCATGCTGCCATGTCCCTCCATGCTGCCATGTCCCTCCATGCTGCCATGTCCCTCCATGCTGCCATGTCCCTCCATGCTGCCATGTCCCTCCATGCTGCCATGTCCCTCCATGCTGCCATGTCCCTCCATGCTGCCATGTCCCTCCATGCTGCCATGTCCCTCCATGCTGCCATGTCCCTCCATGCTGCCATGTCCCTCCATGCTGCCATGTCCCTCCATGCTGCCATGTCCCTCCATGCTGCCATGTCCCTCCATGCTGCCATGTCCCTCCATGCTGCCATGTCCCTCCATGCTGCCATGTCCCTCCATGCTGCCATGTCCCTCCATGCTGCCATGTCCCTCCATGCTGCCATGTCCCTCCATGCTGCCATGTCCCTCCATGCTGCCATGTCCCTCCATGCTGCCATGTCCCTCCATGCTGCCATGTCCCTCCATGCTGCCATGTCCCTCCATGCTGCCATGTCCCTCCATGCTGCCATGTCCCTCCATGCTGCCATGTCCCTCCATGCTGCCATGTCCCTCCATGCTGCCATGTCCCTCCATGCTGCCATGTCCCTCCATGCTGCCATGTCCCTCCATGCTGCCATGTCCCTCCATGCTGCCATGTCCCTCCATGCTGCCATGTCCCTCCATGCTGCCATGTCCCTCCATGCTGCCATGTCCCTCCATGCTGCCATGTCCCTCCATGCTGCCATGTCCCTCCATGCTGCCATGTCCCTCCATGCTGCCATGTCCCTCCATGCTGCCATGTCCCTCCATGCTGCCATGTCCCTCCATGCTGCCATGTCCCTCCATGCTGCCATGTCCCTCCATGCTGCCATGTCCCTCCATGCTGCCATGTCCCTCCATGCTGCCATGTCCCTCCATGCTGCCATGTCCCTCCATGCTGCCATGTCCCTCCATGCTGCCATGTCCCTCCATGCTGCCATGTCCCTCCATGCTGCCATGTCCCTCCATGCTGCCATGTCCCTCCATGCTGCCATGTCCCTCCATGCTGCCATGTCCCTCCATGCTGCCATGTCCCTCCATGCTGCCATGTCCCTCCATGCTGCCATGTCCCTCCATGCTGCCATGTCCCTCCATGCTGCCATGTCCCTCCATGCTGCCATGTCCCTCCATGCTGCCATGTCCCTCCATGCTGCCATGTCCCTCCATGCTGCCATGTCCCTCCATGCTGCCATGTCCCTCCATGCTGCCATGTCCCTCCATGCTGCCATGTCCCTCCATGCTGCCATGTCCCTCCATGCTGCCATGTCCCTCCATGCTGCCATGTCCCTCCATGCTGCCATGTCCCTCCATGCTGCCATGTCCCTCCATGCTGCCATGTCCCTCCATGCTGCCATGTCCCTCCATGCTGCCATGTCCCTCCATGCTGCCATGTCCCTCCATGCTGCCATGTCCCTCCATGCTGCCATGTCCCTCCATGCTGCCATGTCCCTCCATGCTGCCATGTCCCTCCATGCTGCCATGTCCCTCCATGCTGCCATGTCCCTCCATGCTGCCATGTCCCTCCATGCTGCCATGTCCCTCCATGCTGCCATGTCCCTCCATGCTGCCATGTCCCTCCATGCTGCCATGTCCCTCCATGCTGCCATGTCCCTCCATGCTGCCATGTCCCTCCATGCTGCCATGTCCCTCCATGCTGCCATGTCCCTCCATGCTGCCATGTCCCTCCATGCTGCCATGTCCCTCCATGCTGCCATGTCCCTCCATGCTGCCATGTCCCTCCATGCTGCCATGTCCCTCCATGCTGCCATGTCCCTCCATGCTGCCATGTCCCTCCATGCTGCCATGTCCCTCCATGCTGCCATGTCCCTCCATGCTGCCATGTCCCTCCATGCTGCCATGTCCCTCCATGCTGCCATGTCCCTCCATGCTGCCATGTCCCTCCATGCTGCCATGTCCCTCCATGCTGCCATGTCCCTCCATGCTGCCATGTCCCTCCATGCTGCCATGTCCCTCCATGCTGCCATGTCCCTCCATGCTGCCATGTCCCTCCATGCTGCCATGTCCCTCCATGCTGCCATGTCCCTCCATGCTGCCATGTCCCTCCATGCTGCCATGTCCCTCCATGCTGCCATGTCCCTCCATGCTGCCATGTCCCTCCATGCTGCCATGTCCCTCCATGCTGCCATGTCCCTCCATGCTGCCATGTCCCTCCATGCTGCCATGTCCCTCCATGCTGCCATGTCCCTCCATGCTGCCATGTCCCTCCATGCTGCCATGTCCCTCCATGCTGCCATGTCCCTCCATGCTGCCATGTCCCTCCATGCTGCCATGTCCCTCCATGCTGCCATGTCCCTCCATGCTGCCATGTCCCTCCATGCTGCCATGTCCCTCCATGCTGCCATGTCCCTCCATGCTGCCATGTCCCTCCATGCTGCCATGTCCCTCCATGCTGCCATGTCCCTCCATGCTGCCATGTCCCTCCATGCTGCCATGTCCCTCCATGCTGCCATGTCCCTCCATGCTGCCATGTCCCTCCATGCTGCCATGTCCCTCCATGCTGCCATGTCCCTCCATGCTGCCATGTCCCTCCATGCTGCCATGTCCCTCCATGCTGCCATGTCCCTCCATGCTGCCATGTCCCTCCATGCTGCCATGTCCCTCCATGCTGCCATGTCCCTCCATGCTGCCATGTCCCTCCATGCTGCCATGTCCCTCCATGCTGCCATGTCCCTCCATGCTGCCATGTCCCTCCATGCTGCCATGTCCCTCCATGCTGCCATGTCCCTCCATGCTGCCATGTCCCTCCATGCTGCCATGTCCCTCCATGCTGCCATGTCCCTCCATGCTGCCATGTCCCTCCATGCTGCCATGTCCCTCCATGCTGCCATGTCCCTCCATGCTGCCATGTCCCTCCATGCTGCCATGTCCCTCCATGCTGCCATGTCCCTCCATGCTGCCATGTCCCTCCATGCTGCCATGTCCCTCCATGCTGCATGTCCCTCCATGCTGCCATGTCCCTCCATGCTGCCATGTCCCTCCATGCTGCCATGTCCCTCCATGCTGCCATGTCCCTCCATGCTGCCATGTCCCTCCATGCTGCCATGTCCCTCCATGCTGCCATGTCCCTCCATGCTGCCATGTCCCTCCATGCTGCCATGTCCCTCCATGCTGCCATGTCCCTCCATGCTGCCATGTCCCTCCATGCTGCCATGTCCCTCCATGCTGCCATGTCCCTCCTGCGTCCCTGCCACTTGCATCTCGTCCCATTTTGACACATCGCTTCAACATGAAGCGACATCTAGTCTCTGCTCTCCGCCATCCTTACCAGCTGACAATTACTCTCCCGTCCCAATCTGTTTCACCCCTTCCTCGCCCAGCATGTGGACGAGGCGGACAGGTCAACGGATGGGTTCTACATCCGCTCGGGCATCACAGTGGTGCTCAAGAATGCCACCATTGCCGATGGCACCGTCATCTAAGAACCCATTCTCGCGAAAGAATGATGCTACCGTAATTGTGTTTCTGCTGGGGATGCGTTGGGTTTGGGTATAGAAGTGGATCTGTACGAATTGTTGTAGCATTGTGTGAACGTGTGAATACACAATGCTCATAGTACTGTCATTAATAGTACCTTATCACTCACTAGTGAATGCACCAAGCACCTTTGTTATAGTGCAGTGTGGTTGCCATGGCCCACACAAACACTCCTTGAAATCTGAATCATTGAATGCTCACACAGAAACAAGCTAAACTAATCAGGAAGGTTTACTTTCTGGCTGAACAGAGCTGCCTTGTTATACACAGTTACCACTACCTTACCACGTTCTTTATCACACCCACGGGTACATATATGATAGTATTTAATATCCATACATCGAGTCGAGACAGTTACCACACCACCACCTCACCCACTGAAAATATCAACAGGACCAGTGCAGCTGGGACCACAGGCACCAGCACCACAGCTACCAGCGCCCACAGCAAACCGCAGCGGCCTTCTATTCCACCACTTCTGCCGACTCATCTCCACACTCGAAAACGAAAACTCCTCCTCCCCACTCTTTGCCGCCGCCGCTGCCGCCGCTCCGCCGACCGTATCCCTCGATATGCTCAGCGCGCCCCAGTGATTGGCCGGATCGGGATCGGCCAATGGCAGGCGCCGGAACCTTCTGACGCGGTTGATTCCCGCCATGTCGTTGATAGCCTCGGAGAGGCACGTGCAGAGCAGCAGCACGAGGGGCACCGACTCGTCTGGTGCTACCTCCATGGCTGCTCCCTTCCAGTTGAGTAGAGCCGTGGCGCGGCCGTGAGGGGCGTCTGGGGGGAAGCGGATGAGGGTAGCGAAGCCTAGGTCTTCCACTGAAGGGGCTCCTGGTACCTTGTACTTGTGGTGACGACCTGGCAGGAGCAGCACCTTTTGGGATGGAGGGTTGGTGAAGAAGTAAAGGGGGGAACGAACACATTGGAAAAAGTGGATGAGCGTGGCGAAACCCAGGTCTTCCACTGAGGGGGCTCCTGGTACCTTGTACTTGTGGTGACGACCTGGCAGCAGGAGGACCTGTTGGGATGGGGGGAGGAATGGCAGGGTGAGGCGAGAGCAGGGTGAGGCGAGAGCAGGGTGAGGCATGACCCTCTCCCTTCACAACAACTAGTTCACAACTGTCACAGCAACTCACCCCGCTGGTCAACTCCTCCTCCAGCATCAGCTGTATCCCCTGGATGCAGATTATGGCACCATTCATGTATGGCTAACCAGACACCCATGTGCACTCACCCGACTGTTCCCCTCCTCCTCTAGTGTCAGCTGTATCCCCTGTATGAATATCGTGGCGTCGCGTCGCCGCTCGATGGTGACAGTGGCGGTGCGGCCGTTGGGAAGGCAGTCGAGCAAGCAGAACCGTTGGATTTGATCATAGTCATCCGACGCCTGTGGCACCGCCTGCGCCACCACTGGCCCCCGAACCACCCCCACCCGCAGGTGCGGCGGCTCTGGCTCGGGTAGGGGGACAGGGTCGGTCTCGATATAACGCCATCCACCCTGGGAGAGGAGGGAACGGGAGAAGGAGTGGGAAGTAGTGGGGAAGAGTGGAGAGGAGTGGGGAGGAGTGGGGAAGTGATGCAGAGAGGCAAGGGTGAGATACATGTACTAGACGAGAGGAGCAGAATGCAAGACTTGCACTTGAGTGCAACAGAATGACCCACCCGATGAGCAGAACGACAACAGAAAGACCGACCTGATGCAAGAGAATAACCTTTTCCTTTGGCTCCACAGGAATGGGCCGATAGCGCGCATGCCACGTGCCCTTGGCCACCCTGCCATGCACACACACACAGATAACGCACACGTGCAGTAGAGGCATGTTCTAAGAGGCACGTGTTTCAACACTTGCCTGCCCGGCACTTACATACACACACGGCAGCAGCAGAAGCATGCAATCACCAGAAATCCAAGGAAAGTCTGAATGCTTCGCTGTGCGCACTTGTAGCTGAGAGCTTAATTGCAGGGAGTGTTTTTGAGGCGCCTAAAAAATCGCGTCAGGGAGCGAGCATGGCTGGTTCGGCCGCGAGCAGCCTACCTCTTGCGGATGACAAACACCTCCTTGTCCTGGTGGTTGTACACCGTGCGATGAATACCTCTTTCTCCTCGTCATCTACCTCTGAGGCGCCTCACGAATGGACTCACCACGATGCAAGCTCACCTCTTGCGGATGACAAACACCTCCTTGTCCTGGTGGTTGTACACCGTGCGCGACCCCCACCGGCCGTACTGGTGGGGGGTTGATGGGGCAGAAATGCGGAAAGAAATGGACAAGGGAGAAGAAAGGGGAAAGATGGAGGAAAATAGCAACTCTTTTTCCTCATGCTCCAGCCACCGCTGTTCTCACTCACCCACCTCACACCCACCCACCTCTCCCAAACCCACCAGTCCTTGAAATCACCCACCCACTCACCTCCGACCCACCCACCTGCGGTCGAAAGTCGCGCTGCACGGCAATCTCTTCACAGATCATGGCACCGTTGTCATCCGTGCCAGCCAGCACAGATGGTGATGTAAATTCCCCTTCACACTCCTCTGCTTTGTTCCCACCCACCTCTCATCAAACCATCCCTCATCCACCCACCTGTGGTCGAAAGTCCCTCTGCACGGCGATTTCTTCACATATCATGGATCCATTGTCGTCCGTGCCTCGCATGAACACCGTTCTCAGCAGGTAAGGCGCCGGTGTGGGGGGGGTGAGAGACACCGCCACATGCACCCGCGGCAACTCACTCGCCTTCCCCCCTCCCCCACTCACCACCAGCGCCCCCGCTCCCCCCCCTGTCCCCCCGCCTCCCCCCGATCCATCGGCTCCCCCCGACCCGCCTGCTGCTTTATTCCCCCCTCCCCCTCCCGTTCCCCCTACCCCATCGTCCGCCTCCCCCCTGATCCCCACAGCAGTGAGCAGATCAACAGGCGCCAGGGCCACCTGTCTATCAACCAGTAGAGCCGGGCGGGATAACACCTCCTCCCAGGTAATACCTCCACTCCCCACCAATCTCGGACCCCACAACCCCCCCCAGAAAGTCCCTGATTCAGCTCTTAATTCAAATTGCAATCCTCCTGTTGCCACCTCAGCTTCCAGCGCCCACCGTTGCCGCCAGGCTGGTGGGCGGCAGCCCGGGCGGGCGGGCAGCGAGCGCGTGCGCAGCGAGAAATCGTGGGCGGCGCGTTTCGTCCGGATCATGAGAAAGAGATTCTCGGGCTTGTCGGGATGGAAACTGAGCAAACCCCACACCATGAAATCCACCTCTACAGTCATCCGAGGCTCCAACCCTCTCCCTGCATTCAACTCTGCAACCGTAAACTCCCCCTCCCCTCCTTCCAGAGGCAAGACCCGTCTCGGCGCCACGAGCGGCGGCGGCGGGATAGGCACGGGCGCCGGGCCTCGGAACATAGCTCCGGCGCGGTCGAACGGGGAGCCGTAGGTTCGGTCCCAGAGCTGCGCGGTGGCTCGGTAGGCCCACTCGAGGCGCTTGCGAGTGTTGCTGTCGATGGTGTTGGTGGTAGAAGAGGCTGCTGCTGCAGCTGCTGTGACTGGCATGGCGTCGGAATCATCGTGGCCTAGCAGACGGCTTATAAGCCAGTCACTGTCCTTGGTGTATGCTGCTGCACACATCTGATGGGGGGGAGGGGTTAGGGGAAGGGCAGGGCACAGAGGCAGCAGCTGAAGGAGGAGGCGGCTGCTGCAGCTGCTGCGACTGGCATGGCATCGGAATCGTCGTGGCCTAGGAGGCGGCTGAGCAGCCAGTCACTGTCTTTAGTGTACGCTGCTGCACACATCTGGGGGATGGTAGAGGGGGAGCAGGTTCAAAGAGGGGGAGTGGGGAGGTAGGAGGCGGGTGAGAGAGGCAGGAGTGGAAGGGGTGCTGCTGCTGGCATGGCATGGCATCGGAACCATCGAGTCCCAGCAGATGGCTGAGAAGCCAGGCAGTGTCTTTAGAGTATGCTGCTGCACACATCTGATGGTGGGTGTGGAGAGATGAGGGGCGGAAATACGAGGAGGGGAGAGGAGTTGGAGCAAGGAACGAGGTACATGAACTTGGTGATCCGTGCGAAAATATGCTTCTTGACACGCCTAGATTGTCAAATCATCAGGCCTCAAGCGTCTGTTCGTACATGTGCCAAGCACCATTGTGTGATCTGTTAGAGTGTTAGGCGCCTAATACTAGAGCGTTTGAGATACCATACCTTGCCATATGAGCATGCATCATGCTACTACCATGCATGCATGCCTGCATGTGTACCATACCATGTGTGCGTGCCACAGCAGGTCGATGTCATAGGTGGGGTTGAGGAACGCCCCTCGGCTGAGCATGCATGCATGCCACCACCACCACACATCCATGCATACCATACCACGTGTGCGTGCCACGCCATGCACCATAACCATACCATGTGAGAGTGCCACAACAGGTCGATGTCATAGGTGGGAGTGAGGAACGCCCCGCGGTTGAGCATGACGAGGTTGAGGAACATGCGGTAGCGCTGCAGCGACCCTTGTAAGTATTGCCGCTCTAGCATCCACGGCCGCTCCACCTGGCGGGGTTGGGGTGGGGGTGAGGGAACAGAGGGGAAGGAGGGTTGAGGAACATGCGATAGCGCTGCAGCGACCCTTGTAAGTATTGGCGCTCTAGCATCCACGGCCGCTCCACCTGGCGGGGTTGGGGTGGGGGTGAGGGAACAGAGGGGAAGGAGGGTTGAGGAACATGCGATAGCGCTGCAGCGACCCTTGTAAGTATTGGCGCTCTAGCATCCACGGCCGCTCCACCTGGCGGGGTTGGGGTGGGGGTGAGGGGACAGAGGGGAAGGAGGGTAGGGGAAAAAGGGGGAGGGGGGAGGAGGGGGAAGCATGACGAGGTTGAGGAACATGCGATAGCGCTGCAGCGAGCCCTGTAGGTACTGCCGCTCTAGCATCCACGGCCGATCCACCTGGTGCGATGGGGGTGGGCGGGAGAGGGAGCAATAGGTAGTGTCGGCATGGCACAAGCGGCGAGGAAGGGAGAGAGGGAAGAGAAAAGAAGGGAGAGGAAGGAGGGGAACATGAACGAGTAGGGAGAAGAGGGACGGGGACAGTGGGGAGAGAGAGGAGAGGGGAGAGGGGGGAGGAGGCTTGGGAACGCCACTCCTGTGCGCGCACCTGGTAGAAGAAGCTGCTCTGCCGCGAGTGATTTTTGAGAATTCCCAAAAAACACTCGCTGCAATATATTTCCCTCCCACGGATGTTAGTGTGTTGGCGCCTACCAAAGAGGGTACGTAACCTCTTGGTGAAAGCGAAGTTTCAAAAACGGGGATACACCACCCCCGTGAGTTGATGGGAGTGAATTCGTCCCACCAACCTGCATGTTGGACTGTCATTGTAAATGTTGTACAGCCAGCTAGCGAGCCGCAATGACGCGCTACAGCCGCATCTAGGTCAGTCAGCGCCGAGGGCACCAAGGGGGGAGGGGGGAGAAGGGAAGAGTGCGGAGGGGGAGAGGGGGGAAAGGGGCCTGTTAGTTCCACTCCTGTGCGCGCACCTGGTAGAAGAAGCTGCTCTGCCTCGCTACTGCGGCCTCGAGGTCATAAGTTAGCTCCGAAGGGAGGGAGGGGGGCAGAGCTGGTGGCACCACTGCTGCTGCTGCTGCATCTGGCGCTGCTGCTGCTCCATTCCCCTGCCTCTCCGCCCCATCACCCCCACCATCACCAGCAGCAGCAGCAGCAGCAGCATCAGCTGTAGCTGCTGCACCGTCTCCTTCCGCTGCACCACTCCCCTCGTCCCTCTCCTCCCCAGCACCAGCCGCACCTGCAACATCATCATCCCCAGCAGCAGGAGCGGCAACAGCAGGAGCAGCAAGAGCAGGGGGGTCGTAGGGCTCCAAGGGGAAGAGCTCCTCCCAGAGCGCCCTGCACGCGGCAGTGGCTGCTGCCTCCCCCCGCGCGCTCTCACTGCCCACATCGTCGTCATCCGGGTCGAATATCGCCCCGTCTAACAGCCGGCCCAGAATGGTGCTGCAGTCCTCTGCATACGCCTCCTGGGGTGGGGAATGCGAGTGAGGTGAGGGTGAGAGATGGGCGAACAGGCATGAGCAAGTGCCTCTGCCTCGCCCCGAGCGCTCTCACTGCCCACATCGTCATCAAGGTCGAATATCGCCCCGCCTAACAGCCGGCCCAGAATGGTGCTGCAGTCCTCTGCATACGCCTCCTGGGATAGGAGGGCAGGAGGGGTGGAGGGCGAATGGAGGCTGGGCGGATGGACAGAGGCTTTTCCAGCCAGTGGCATGTAGAAACGGGGAGGGGGGAACAAACGGAACAGGGGAGCAGAGCGGGAAAAGGCACGGGGGGAGCGGGGAGCAAGGAGCACGTACGGGGTTGAGGCGGTGCACGAGCCACACCCACTGCACGTCCAGCGGGGGCTGCAGCGTGCGCATGACGTCGTCCGTCTGCCCGTACGCCATGCGCAGCCAGCACTGCTCGTACCTGCGAGGAAGAGAGGGTGAGGGAGCGGGGAAGCGATGAGAGGGAGTAGTGGGGAATAACGTGGGTGGAAGAGGAGGGAGATGCGGAGGGAAAAGCGACGCGGAAAATGGTTGAGAGAAGACGTGTGCGATGCTGGCAGACAGACGATGCCGATTATGGGACAGCCGAGCTGCGGTTCGTTCGAGCGCGGAGGCCGAATCGTGCAAACACGAAAGAGGGCATCGCGCCAAAACCTCGCGATCCTAACAGTCGCACTCCTGCCCGTCGCATCCCCGCGCGTCGAACACTCCCTTCACACCTAGACACCGTAACCCACATCCGTTTTCGACGCCGCATTCAACGCGCGATCCGAGGCGCACCTCCTAATGGCATCCTTAACGGCCGGCCCGGCGTACAGCCGGCCGCTCTGGTCGACGCGCCGCAGCAGCGTGATGAGCTGCTTCGCCGCCGCCGGCAGATCCGCGCTGACCCGGACCGCCTCCACTGCTTTCCACGCCTTCGCCATCTCCAGCTCGTCCTCCTCCTCCTCCGCCAAAAGCGGCGTCTCCATCGCCGCGTCAATCGCGGCGGCGGTTACGGCGAGGTCCTTGTTGCCCTTCTCGCCCTTGCTCTCCCTGCCGGGCTTGCTGCCGCCGCGACTCGCCATTTTCGAGGAGGATTAAACTAACTACGAACAGCGACGTGGCTGCAATAAATATCTGGAAGTCAGCTTACAAGGGGAATTACGCGACAGGTTACATGGTGGAGAAGTCAAGCAGGAAATTCATTTGTGCGGTTGTTGCACGGGAGAGTGGAGTGCAAGGCAGGCACGAACCCAGGTAGGCGGCAGGGAGTGGGAGAGGGGCGAATATTTCTCCATGAATCCATCACTGTGCTGCTCCGTTTTCAGTGCTCCGATAACAACACAGAACATCACTCTTCACACAGATTTTGCTGTATAGCCCGTGTTTTCAGGTTCAGAGGCCAAGTCACTTTTCAACAACTGTATTCGTATTGAAGACTTGGGTCTCAAATCACGCGGACCAGCCACGCCTCCAAATCGCAGCCGTTCGTTGCTCTATCCTCATTTCTGCACAGCCACGTCAGCGCTTACCTCACCTAAAGCCGCACATCATCAATCGAGCAATTCCCAAGGCGAATTCCCCTCAAATCTCCCCGTCAATTCCCAAGACTCGTCAGAGACAGTTCAGACTCACTCACCACACACCACCGTAGCCACTGCTGTACCTTTCCCTTCTCCCCTCACCACCACCTCACCTCCACCATACCTCCCATTTCCATTCCCTTACCTCCGGGTTTCTCTCTAACGATCCTAGAGGCTTCCATTCCCATCAGTCGCTCTGGCCATGGCGACCGCGTCTCTTTCCGCGCAGAGCGCCTCGAGGTTGTCGTTTTCCAGCAGCGCGTTGACCGGCGGCTGCTCACAGCTCAAGGCGGTTAGCCTTGCCGCTGCCAAGCCACACTCCAGCGAGAATGGCCGGCTCGCCGTGAGATGCGCCGGAAAGGGCGGGTTCATTCCCGCGGAGCACCGGTGGATGTACGAGGGCATTGAGAACAAGGGACCGGTACGGCCTTAGGATCTCGATAGCGTATCAGAGAGGCCGAAAAAGGTTTATCCAGGGCATGTCGTTGTTACCCTGAAGTTAATATGTTTTTTTCAGAATGACTTATTTTCTCCAACGTACGACTATCAGCGCGTAGTTAACCTAACGTGGTGGATTAGCATATTCGATCGGAATGACGGTTCAGGTATCTAAGGCGATTCGCCACGTTGCTGCGGTTAACGTCTAGTGGTGGTCGCGTACGCGTCGACAAGCGTAAGTTTTTTTTTGCGTTGCCTCGCTGCGCTGAACCGTGTGAGCGCGATACTGACAGCCGTACTTTGCGCGCATCGATTGCTGCCAGCAGTCAGGTCAGTCTGCGAAGCAGGGTTTTGGCGTTGAAGATAGGTTCTAGTCGTCAGCCTCCTCGCGGCCATGGCATTGTCTTCTCGATCCCGTTCTCGCAGCACACAGTCGAAGCGCATGCCTGCTCCTTCCACGCCTGACTGAATCTCCCACCTCTCCCACTTCTCCGCCCTTTGGTTCATTCCATTCTCTTTCGTCTTCTCCTCTTCCGAACCTTTCTCCGCGCATCCTTCCCCCCTCCCCTCAATCGGGCAGGGCGGAGCACCTGACAGTGAGATACGGTGGTTTCCCTCTCCCCTTCCCTTCATCCCTAACTGCCAATGTCTCCCTCCTGGCCTGAAATGCAGGACGAGTGGAACTGCCGTACTGAACCAAGGAGGCGGATCACCCTCATCCTCCCCTTCCCCCCCTTTCCCTCCACTCCACCACGGATACCTCCCGCTCTTCTTTCACTGACAGGACGATTGGAACCGCACGTACTACCCCAAGGAGGCGGACCATCTGAACGTGGAGAAGCAGTGGTTCAATCTCCTTTTTCCTCCCTGTCCCCCGCTCTACCGTGCATTCCTCCCGCTCTCTCTCGTTGACAGGACGATTGGAACCGCACGTACTACCCCAAGGAGGCGGACCACCTGAACGTGGAGAAGCAGTGGTACATCGTCGACGCCGCCGACAAGCGCCTGGGCCGCCTCGCGTCCACCATCGCCAACCACATCCGCGGGAAGGACCAGCCCACGTACACGCCTTCCGTCGACATGGGCGCGTATGTCATCGTGGTGAGTGCGTGGGAGCGACGGCTGTGTCGCGTGTTAGGGTTGCAAGGCACCTTCGCAACGCCCTTTTTCGCCCTTATTCCCGCCTGCTCGACTGTCATGTGAACGTGGAAATGGGAACGCTGCCAGGGAAGGAGCGCACGCAGAAAGATGTACCCACTGCACGTAGAGCTCAACTTCCTTCGTTCCGCCCTTTTCACCTCCCCCACTCCTCCCCCATTCCTCTCGCCCTCCGCCCCCCTCCTCCCCCCCCCATCCCCCACCACCACTGGCAGGTGAACGCGGAGAAGGTGGCGGTGACGGGCAAGAAGCGCGCGCAGAAGATTTACCGGCGGCACTCGGGGCGGCCGGGCGGGATGACGGAGGAGACGTTTGACCAGGTGCAGGCGCGCATCCCCGAGCGCATCGTCGAGCACGCCGTGCGAGGCATGCTGCCCAAGGGCCGGGTGAGTGCGCTGTGGGCTTGGGGACTTGGGGACTTGGTGGCTTGTGGGAGGGACTGGGGCTGGGCTTTGGGCTCGGGAATGGGGTCGGGCTTGGGACACTATGATCGATTATAGAGGCACATCCTGGACGGGATCGTGGAGCATGCCGTGCGGGGCACTGCCCAAGGGTCGGGTGCGCTGCTTGCCTGGAGACTGGGGCCTGGGCGTGGGCTTGGTGCTGGGCTTGGTGGTTTGGCTGGTCGGCATTGGGACAGCGGCAGAAAGCCGCATCAGTGGAGAAATCAGTGGAGGTCGACGTGGGGGGCATGCAGCCCAGGCAGGTGGGTAGCAGGGTACGGGTTTGAGGGCAGTGGGGCCAGCGAGGTGGGGCATGATGAAACGCAGCTTGAGCTACGATTTTGAAAAACATCCTGAGCGTTTTGTGTGGGACATGCTGTGTATGCATGCTGGGGGGTGTGGAACATGTTGTGTGGGGAATGCTGTTGGGCATGCTTTTCACGGGAAGGGAATATTTATGCGTTGGTGAGAGGTGGACACTGGGAATGATTTTGGATGCGCTGGATAAGGGAGCATAGGATGAGTGATTGGTACTTTGTGAAATTGCAGCGAGGGGTATACAAAAGATGGTGCATGAGATGGTATGTTTCACTAAAGATGGTATGGGACCTGGTTTCTAATGTGTTTGCTGTAACCTTCACCCCTTTCCTTACTGCTGAGCATAGATCGTTTCCTTCTGGCTTTGTGCTCCTTCCACACCAGTTGGGTCGCCGCCTATTCACACACCTCAAGGTGTACAAGGGAGAGTCGCACCCACACGAGGCCCAGGTGCCGCAGCCTCTGCCGATCCATGACAAGCGTATCTCCCTTGCTTGAAAAAACGTTTCATTAGCCTGTTGCTGTAGTTGCTTGACTGCTGTTATATAAATGCTGATAATAGTAAGATTTGAGCATGTGTTTTGCAATCTACAGTTGTCTGCTATATTTGTGGAGCCAGCCTCACCACCACGATAGTAGTTCCGTACTCGATCCCGAGTATGCGACAAAACTCTGAAGGTTTGTGCGTCGTCGTGCGACAATGTCAGCAACCACCCATCCGTACGCACCAATGACAAATCAGCAGCAACCACACCCCGCCAAAATCACACAGGCGCGATTCTTCGATTCACGCGCTTCGATCATCGAGAAACACCGCGACGCGACACTCGCGAAATGGTCACTCTACAATTCCCCCCCAGCCAGCTTTCCCCCACCCCTCCCCCCACCTTCCTCGAGTGAGAGAATCTATGCCGTCTGCCTGCGATTGCGAATGCCGTGCGATGTGGTGAGGTGGTGGTCCCCCCCCCTCGACGAGATTGTGTTATGCTCGACTATTGGTGGTTATCAAACCGCCTGCCTCACATAAGCCACGTCACGAGGACTCACGATCTTCCGCGACCGCGAGGACTAACCATCCCGATAAGCGCATCTTGCCGCGCTGTACGACCATGTCGGGCGCGCACGGTCAAGTTCCGCTGCTGGCTGGTATTCGGTGCTGCCGGCTCGCGTATGGTCTGGACCTGATAAGTTCGTCTCCTCGTGCACCTGCTGATCCATTCGCAGTAGTGCTATGGTCATCTATCCGCGTCTTTAGGACAGAGGGGCTGGAGGAACACACGGCTTCAGTGCCTCCAGTAAACAGCTGACTGAGTGATTCACCCTTTGCATCAACTTAGTAACGGCAAGGCATAGAGACTCGCCATTTTATTCATACCCGAGCCGTTACTAACTCACACTCGAGCCGCTACTAACTAGTGTGTACTAGCACTCACATTCCCTCTGCTGAATTCATAAAGCCCAGGCCTGGGATCGAAGGATGATGACGTGTCCACCATTTAAGCTCTCGCGGCACAGGTGGGCAGTACACGCGACCGCGACGCTCGGCGCGCTGCTAACGCTGCTAGTGTGCGGGGTATGTGCCGAAGCGTCACTCAGAGCAATGGATAGATCCAGGAACAAGCCACTAATAGGCTACAACATGATCGAGACCGATTTCTATATACGCCCCGCTAGCCCGCGGGTGCCCCGCTAGCCCGACTTTTTTTCCGGGACAATGCCGCATAGCCAAGCAGGCGATGCGTTGCTCCACTGTGACGAGAGGCGCTCACGCGCACATCAGCGCCCCCATCGAGCGCGCGCCTCCACTCAGTGGGGACGAAGGAAATGTTTGCGCTTTCCTCTTCCTCTCTAGGCTATAGTGCAGCCACGCCAGTTCGGCGCATCGACGCTGTCTGAGAATCCAGAATGATTACCAGTGGACTCAAGAACCACGCCTTCCCCTATTTTTCCCGTCCGTCTCTCGTCAATCAGGCCATGGTCCAGGACGCATTGACGCCTTTCTTCTCCCCGCTCCTCCTCTCCCACTCCTCCCCGCTCCTCCGGTTCCGCTCCTCCGTCCTCTCCTCCTCCACCTCTCCATCCTCTGCCGCTGCGCGCCAAGCCGCTTCAAACAGTACCGCCGGCACCGGAAATGCCCCTTGCCCCGCACTTGACGCCGTAGCTGTAGCGCACGATGCGGGAAGCGGGAGCGGCGGAGATGGCGGAGAGACGAGCGGCGGAGAAGGCGGTTGGAAGAGCGGCGAGGAGGAACAGTGGAACGAAGCGCGTGACGTGCAGAATCTGGCGCAATTATCGGTGAGTGATGGCGCGATGGCGCAACTATCGGCGTGGCGGATAATGCAGTTTGGCGGATAGTGCCGGGTGGCGGGCGTTGCGGTATGCGGTGTGACTGGATGGGGGTGACAGTGCTTGCGGACGACCGCTGGAGCGGCCCGCCCCTCCGCGCTTCTCTTTCAAAGCGCATTTTGAGAGTACTTTGAGAATTCCCTGATATCCCTTCACTCCCACGCTTCTTGTTGCTCTCTGCGTGCGTGCCTCTGTCTGTACCTGACTGTGCGTGCGTCTGTGTGCGTATGTGTGTGTGCGTATGTGTGTGTGCGTATGTGTGTGTGCGTATGTGTGTGTGCGTATGTGTGTGTGCGTATGTGTGTGTGCGTATGTGTGTGTGCGTATGTGTGTGTGCGTACGTGTGCGTGCGTGCCCTTGCGGCGGGCAGCGCTACACGGAGGCACTGGAAGCGAGGCGCAGGCGTAATCAGTCAGACGTGGCTGTGGCGAGGGCGCTTGAGACGGAAGCGCGGCAGTGGAGGCAACGAACCTACCAGCAGCGAGGATTCCTTTACGAGTTCGGGTGCTGCTTCCAATCCTCTACGAGTTCAGGTGCTGCTTCCAATCCTCTACGAGTTCAGGTGCTGCTTCCAATCCTCTACGAGTTCAGGTGCTGCTTACAATCCTCTACGAGTTCAGGTGCTGCTTCCAATCCTGTGGCCATAATTATCGTATGCCGAGGTGGGACATAACCAGACTCACCTGCCTATGTCTTTATCTTACCCTCCTCCCTCACTCATTCCCTCTGCTCTACCCGACACATTCCCCTCCTCCATCCCCCCCTATTACTCCTCTCTCATCTCATTTTTCCATCCCCCAGCGCCTACCGCGTCAGCCCCTCTCGCTTCGTCGTACTCGCTATAAGCGGCCTCAATTTCACATGGGTGACGGACGGGGAGGGTTGCAGATGGGTGGGGCGAGACGGCAGCAGAGTGAACGGTTCAGTGTGGTACAGAGACTTCATGGGCCCCAAAACTCAGGTGCTTCATCTCACACCACTCTCGCACCTTTCCCCTCATCCTCGTTTCAAACTGACTCGCCTAGTCACGAATTTTCTATCCAGCCCTTTCCCCTCCCTCTGTTCACCTCCACACCTCCGTCCCCCCTGCAGAGCAACTCAATACCCAGAAAAAATCACCCTCAGACTCTCTCTCCCCTTTTCTCTACACCACGTTCCGCTACACCCCCTTCCCTCATCCCCCTTACAGACTGACTCGCTAGCAGCGTTCTGCCAGCTGTGGGGCAACACGTCCCGGGAAGGCGGCTACCTGGTGATGACCATGGACGGTGTGGAGGCTGCGGTCTTCAATGAACGCCCGGGGCAGGTGGGATGCGGGGCAGGTGGGATGCGGGGCAGGTGGGATGCGGGGGAGGAAGTTATAATGTTTTGGAGGACAGCAGGTTTGCACCTAACCTGGTGCTGCCAGCCGCTCTACGGCACGTTAGTCGCCGGGGCAGTGTGGGCACCGGCGGACTACCGCCGCATGCACGCCAACGTCTCCCGATTCCTCTCCCGATCCCCATCCCTCTCCCCTCCCCCTCCCCCTCCATCTCCCCAACTGCAGCCTCTGGAACCACCACCGGACGCCTCCCTCCCTGTCCACCTCACGTGGTGCTCACAGCTGCTCTACGGCACGTTGGACGCGGGCATGGTGTGGGCCTGGGCGGAGTACCACCGCGTGCACGCCAACGTCTCCCGCTTCATATTCTACGACATGGCGGCGTGGACTCCCGCCCTCACGGCGCTCTTCACGCCGTACTTTGCTGCGGGTGTTGCTGCTGTTACGGACATGTCGGCAGGGCGGCGGTTTGGGTTTCGTGCGGGAGTGGAGTTGCTCTACTTTACTACCAAGCACCAGGTGAGCTGCACACCAAGCACCAGGTGAGCTGCACACCAAGCACCAGGTGAGCTGCACACCAAGCACCAGGTGAGCTTCACACCAAGCACCAAATGTGTTTTGAGTCGATCAACACACACCCTCACGGCGCCCTTCTCGCCGCACTTTGCTGCCGGCATGGCTGCTGTTACAGACGTGTCCGGAGAGCGGCAGTTCGGGTTTCACGCGGGGGAGTGGGCGCTGAGCTTCATCACCAAACACCAGGTCGGTGCGGGGGGTTGTTTTGAGCTTCTTTTCAAGCATATACACCTTTATGTAACTGCATACATACATACGTACACATTTCCAAGAATACATTTCCATACATGCGTACATTGATTAAATCCTTGCATATATTACGTCTCCCACCACACGCTAGCAGGCAGCAACTGCACCTCTTCTCCTCTCGATGGAGCACACTGCTCGACACCAACGAGTTTTGAGGCGCCTCAAGCAAAACTGCTCAACACCAACGAATTCAACTTGCCCGTGCCGTCACAGGCACAGGGCGATCTCAGTACCCCATTCCGCGAATCGAGTACCGCATTCAGCACCTCTTCTTCACTCCCCCCTCCCACCCACCAGACCCTAGCCAGCAACGACTGCATATACCGCTCGCTCCTCACCTCGCGCTGGGTGACCTCCACGACACAGACGAGTTCCTCTCGCCCGTCCCCCCGCACTCCCTGCCCTCGCTGCTCGCCACGCACGCCCACGCCCCCTGGCTCTCCCATGGTGCTTTCGCCGTCGAGCCCTCTGTCTGCCAAGGGGAAGGGGGGGAGGACGCACCCGCACCTGCTGAGGCTGCTACGGTGGAGCCTGCTGACTCTGGTGGTGTTGTGGGTGGTGGGTCTGCTGCAGTGGAGGCTGCTACTGCTGGTGGTGCCCGGGAGGCTGGAGCGGCAGTGAACGCCAGAAGTAGGCACGAGGAGACAGCACTGGGAACAGCAGGGAACGGCACGGAGGGTGCTGAGATGCAGTGGGATGAAGCTGCAGGGACGGAGGCAAAGAGACGTGCCGTGCAGCTGCTATCGCGAATGGTGTTCCGGCACCCAGACGTGTGGTGCATGCGCGACAGGGCCGAGGGGCAGCAGATCGACTCAGAGCTGTGTGAGGACTGGCGGGGCCACCGGAAACTGATTGTCAACCCGCGCAAGGTGAGACGGCCTCTCACCCTCCTAGCAGGTGCTGCGTGGTGCTGCATGGTGCTGCGTGGCGCTGAGTGGTGCTGAGTGGTGATGAGTGGTGCTGAGTGCATCCCCGCCAATCACCCATCACCCCCTTGCCTGTCACCCCCCTGCTTGTCACCCCCTTGCCTGTCATCCCCATTCCCCTTCAGACCGAGGTTATGTCTATCCACATCGCACGGGAGCCACAGAAGGGCGGAGTAGTGCTGAACGCAGCAACGGAGCTGCGGCATTTCCATTTGTCTGGAGTGGTCAACCCGGTCAACGCACACTGCCAAACTATAGTGCCGCCCGGCGAGTCCCACGTGTGGTTTGTGCGGGACACCACTGTTGCTGACAAGCTACGGCTTCTAGTCAACTCTTCTGCCCCTCAACCTGAACCCTGAGAAGCAGGGGGAGCATCGTACCACTCTAGGGAGTTTCTACTCTTGTGTGGTTTGTGCGGGACACCACTGTTGCTGACAAGCTACGACTACTGGCGAATGTCTCAGCCCCTCTGACTGTACTCTAAGGAACGTTACACCACTATATGGATACTTTACTCTTAATGAGGGGCACTACAGTGGCAGACAAGCTACAGCTACTAGTGGTCTACCCACTCAACTATGACTTATTAGCTAACGGCTTGTCTCCACAACCCGGGGGCCAAGAAGTTCAACCTTAGCAAGGTTGGTTGGGAGTGAAAACGATATTGGCCCGCGAACCAATGGGAGTGTCCAAAATGTTGGTCGAGGGCTCAAAACTAGGGAAAAATCACAGGCGTTTTGGGACATCCAGCCATCACTAGGAAGGATGAACCAATTTTGGCCTTCTTGGCCCCAAGAGAATTTTATTTTCAGTGGAACTGTAATTTGAAGTGTCACATCTTTTTTGCAGTCTAAAGCCTTTTAGCACTCTTGAATCACTAGCTGCCAGTGCCAACAGAGGTAAAACGAGCCACTCTGCTGGCAGGCATACGGGTATAATATTGCCGAGGATAACACCACTACTGCGTTTCAATACCAACACATTTCTAGACCCTGCGGGTGCACCGCTTCCGCTCCTACCGTTACCACTGCCAAGGCAGCTCACACCGCACTACACCACTGCAAACCTGGTCATCCACTAAACGTAATCTTTCACGGCTCCTCCACTGCAGCAACTCACTGCAGGTGCATCTGTGAACGAAATGGGGGCCATGCCACCAGTGTCACGAAGCAACAACTGCGCGGCTCTCCTTGAGTCCAGCCAGGTGCTCCCTTCCTCACTTTTAAGGCGCCTGGGAAGGCGGCACCAGGGTCAGCGACGGCTGCTCGGGCCCTCTTTGCTTCCATGTACTGCTGCTCGCTCACTGCCTTCTTTGCATGCCGCCGCTGCAGCAATGATGCAGCGAGGGGAGGGGGCAGGAGAGCAGCCATGTGAGGGGAGGGGGCAGGAGAGCAGTGGTGTGAGGGGAGCGGGAGAGAGGTACCTCCCCCTCCACTCTTCCCCCTCTTCCCCCTCCACTCCACCACGGATACCTCCCGCTCCTCTTTCACTGACAGGACGAGTGGAACCGCACGTACTACCCGAAGGAGGCGGACCACCTGAACGCGGAGCAGTGGTACATTCCCCCTCACCCCCCCCCATCCCTGGATATCACCGCCTTTCTGCTCATCTACAGGACGAGTGGAACCGCACGTACTACCCGAAGGAGGCGGACCACCTGAACGCGGAGCAGTGGTACATTCCCCCTCACCCCCCCCCATCCCTGGATATCACCGCCTTTCTGCTCATCTACAGGACGAGTGGAACCGCACGTACTACCCGAAGGAGGCAGACCACCTGAACGCGGAGCAGTGGTACATTCCCCCTCACCCCCCCCCATCCCTGGATATCACCGCCTTTCTGCTCATCTACAGGACGAGTGGAACCGCACGTACTACCCGAACGAGGAGGACCACCTGAACGCGGAGCAGTGGTACATTCCCCCTCACCCCCCCCCATCCCTGGATATCACCGCCTTTCTGCTCATCTACAGGACGAGTGGAACCGCACGTACTACCCGAAGGAGGCGGACCACCTGAACGCGGAGCAGTGGTACATTCCCCCTCACCCCCCCCCATCCCTGGATATCACCGCCTTTCTGCTCATCTACAGGACGAGTGGAACCGCACGTACTACCCGAACGAGGAGGACCACCTGAACGCGGAGCAGTGGTACATTCCCCCTCACCCCCCCCCATCCCTGGATATCACCGCCTTTCTGCTCATCTACAGGACGAGTGGAACCGCACGTACTACCCGAAGGAGGCGGACCACCTGAACGCGGAGCAGTGGTACATTCCCCCTCACCCCCCCCCATCCCTGGATATCACCGCCTTTCTGCTCATCTACAGGACGAGTGGAACCGCACGTACTACCCGAAGGAGGCGGACCACCTGAACGCGGAGCAGTGGTACATTCCCCCTCACCCCCCCCCATCCCTGGATATCACCGCCTTTCTGCTCATCTACAGGACGAGTGGAACCGCACGTACTACCCGAAGGAGGCGGACCACCTGAACGCGGAGCAGTGGTACATTCCCCCTCACCCCCCCCCATCCCTGGATATCACCGCCTTTCTGCTCATCTACAGGACGAGTGGAACCGCACGTACTACCCGAAGGAGGGCGGACCACCTGAACGCGGAGCAGTGGTACATTCCCCCTCACCCCCCATCCCTGGATATCACCGCCTTTCTGCTCATCTACAGGACGAGTGGAACCGCAAGTACCGTACTACCCGAAGGAGGCGGACCACCTGAACGTGGAGAAGCAGTGGTACATCGTCGACGCCGCCGACAAGCGCCTGGGCCGCCTCGCCTCCACCATCGCGAACCACATCTGTGGCAAGGACCAGCCCACGTACACGCCGTCCGTCGACATGGGCGCGTACGTCATCGTGGTGAGTGTTCGTGTGTTAGGGTTTGAAGCCACTATCGCCAACGCCCTTCTTCGTCCTTATTCTCGCCTTTCCTGACTGCCACGTGAACGCGGGAGTAGATGACGCAGACTGTGTACCTGCTGCATTTGAGCTCAAACCTTAGAGCCCTACCTTCCCATTTCACCCCTACCCTCTCCCTCTCCCCACCTCTTCCCCACCAGGTGAACGCGGAGAAGGTGGCGGTGACGGGCAAGAAGCGCGCGCAGAAGATTTACCGGCGGCACTCGGGGCGGCCGGGCGGCATGACGGAGGAGACGTTCGACCAGGTGCATGCGCGCATCCCCGAGCGCATCGTCGAGCATGCCGTGCGGGGCATGCTGCCCAAGGGCCGGGTGAGCCGAGGGGAACAGGGGCTGGGGGCGGGGCAGGGCGTGTGGGGTGGGTTGGGTGGTGGCGGTGAGGCTGGGTGGTGGTGTATCAAAGGTACTGATGCGCAACCCGGAAATCAATGTGGAGCACGCCGTGCGGGGCATGCTGCCCAAGGGCCGGGTGAGCCGCGCCCTGGGGGGCTTGGGGGTGGGGCTGGGCGGTGAGGTTGTACAAGGGGCAGTATGATTGATACAGCTGCGTCCTCAGAGGATCATGGAGCATGCCGTGTGGGGCGCTGCCCAAGGGTCGGATGCTCTTCGTGCCTGGAAACTTGGGGATTGAGCTGGGTGTGTTGGCGACGCTGGGCTTGGCGGTTTGGCTGAGTGACATATTGACAGAGATAAGAGCCACATCATGGAGAGAATAGTGGACCAGGACGTGCGAAGCATGCTGCTCAAGGGGCAGATGGGTGGTGGTGAATGGGGTTGAGGGCAGGGTGTCAGAACTTGAGCTTAGAATCCATGCATTAGAGCGTATTCCTATCCTCGTATCAAGAGAACCTCATATCAAGATTGTACTTTTTGCCTGGTAAAACTAGCGAGAGGTTTTGGGTTTAGGGGACGCGTGACAGTAGGACTGGCAGCACGAAGAGAGTCCGACTCCGGGTCGGCAAGAGCAGGAAGAGAAGAATCAGGAGGAGAAGGCAAAGGGGCACGCAGAGGAGCAGTGGACGGACGCAGAGACATCCGGTGCGTGCCAGGGACAGGAGGAGGACGCTGACGCGAACCGCGACCACTAGTGCGAGCAGCACGGACAGGCGACGCAGGGCGAGACGCAGGCTCACGACGCTCAGCAAGACCTCCAGTAGGACCAGTGTAGGGAGACGGAGCAGGCAGTGGGGAGGCCGGCTGTAACTGTAACTGCGACGGGACAGGCTGTGGACACTCTAAGGGAGGAGGAGGACCAGTAGAAGGCGGGAGACCAAGAACCTGCTGAAGGAGCGGAACGAAGTACGGCCGAGGCCGCGTGGCGACTCCAGACACAGGAGGGACAGCACCAGTACCCCCAGTGGCAGCACCAGCACCAGTAGCAGCTCCAGCTCCAGAACCCCCAGCAGCACCAGTAGTACCCCCAGCAGGACCGACAGCAGTAGCCTCCGCGCCAACACCCGCAGCAACTCCAGCTCCAGAAGTACCCGCAGGTCCAGCAGCTCCAGTACTCCCAGTACGAGCACCTCCGGGACCCGTGGCACCAGCTCTTTCAGCAGCAACAGAACCTCCAGTACCCGCAGCACCTCCAGCTCCAGCAGCTCGCCTCCAGCGCCGGGCAAACCACTCACGCAGCTCCTGGGGAGAGAGTGGCTCCCGGCGAGAAGGAGCACCCGGAGAACCGCCAGGCACAGCACCACCAGGCGTAGTACCCCCAGGCTCAGCACCTCCAGGCGGAGTACCCCCAGGCTCAGCACCCCCAGACGCAGCACCCCCAGGCTCAGCACCTCCAGGCGTAGCACCCCCAGGCTCAGCACCCCCAGACGCAGCACCCCCAGGCTCAGCACCCCCAGTCGTAGTACCCACACGCTCAGCACCCCCAGAGTCAGCACCCACACGCTCAGCACCCCCAGAGTCAGCACCCCCAGGCTCAGCACCCTCAGCAGCACCAGAGTCATGTGAATCAAGAAAAACAGGAATGAGAATGACTAAGTGAAAGTTGGGTACAAGAAGCAAACCCTAGAAAACTGTACCCCATATGTGCTACCCCACTCTAGCCTACAGTAGCTATGTCATATAAATCTGACACACCCCCATAGGCAAAGTGGGGGAGAACAAGGGGTCACAAGACCAGTCAAGCAAAGCAAAGCAAAAACAAGCTCAGGGTGGATCACAAAGTCACCACACATTCCGAGCACAAGTTCAAGGCCACAAGGCCAGTTCACAAGCAGGAGTACACATATATATAAAAAAGGCTAGACAAACAAGAGCAGGTATATATATATGTAACAGTACAAGCAAGATCAAGAGGTGAGCAAGTGAGGCAAGGTAGGCACAAGGCCCAGCTGAGTACAGAAGCGCTGATGGTCACAAGGCGCAAGTGCCTTGGTGAAGATATCAGCAGTGTTGGCCTCAGAGGCCACGTACGCAAGACGCAGCTGACCACGCTGCTGCAGCTCACGAGCAAGAAAGTAGCGGAGAGCAATGTGCTTCGTTCTGTGCTCCAGTCGCTGCTCCCGACACAAGGCCAGCATGGCCTTGTTGTCTACGTACAGCACTGGAGGAGAACGAGGCAACTCTCCGAGGTCAGTCAGCAGGTAGGTGAGCCAGCGAAGCTCCTGTGCAGCCATGGCTCCTGCGTAGATCTCAGCCTCACAACTGGAGCCGAGAACAGAAGACGAGCGAGTAGCCCGCCACGAAACAGAGCCGGAACCAAGGCTGAAGGTGTAACCCTGCGACGACCGCTGCGTAGCCTGGTCGTCAGCCCAAGAAGCGTCTGCGTGCCCAGTAAGGACCACTGGACTCTGCCCTCCAAGCACAAGCCCCATGCCCGACGTACTGCACAAGTAGCGCAACACCCTCTTCGCTGCAGCCATGTGCTCCGGTCTGTGTCTCCCAGGAGCAACATAGCGTGCAAGAATGCTAAGAGGGTATGCAAGGTCAGGTCGTGTGCAGGTCATCAGGTACATGAGGCAGCCAACAAGCTCTGGGTACGGGCCACTCGACTCTACGGACTCATCCGAAGGCAGAGCTGAGAGCGAGTGGCGAGTAGGCAGAGGAGTGGCCTGAGGCGAGGAGTACGTGAAGCCGAAGCGCTGAAGGACCTGCTGCACCATGTGTGACTGAGTCAGGGTAATGGTGCGGCGTGCTCTGTCCCGAGTGATCTGCAAGCCAAGGTAGCTGCGCAGTTCACCCAGGTCAGTGCACGTGTGTCTCTTCTGCAGCTCGGACTTCACGTGGGCTAGTCCAGCAGTGTCAGCTGTGGCAAAGACCAAGTCGTCGACGTACACGAGGATGTAGAACGGCGGCAAAGAAGTGTCGGTGCGCAGAAACAGCGACGGGTTGGCAGTAGAGGGAGCAAACCCAAGAGCCGCAAGTGTAGTCCTCAGTGTGTCGTGCCACTCACGCGGTGCCTGGCGGAGACCGTAGACTGGCCGCCGTAGGCTCCACTGGGTGCCAGGAGGAAAAGACCCAGTGAAGCCAGGTGGGCGACGCAGCCAGATCTCCTCGTGCAGGCTGCCCTGCAAGAAAGCAGTGCTGAAGTCAAGAGAGTGTAGCTCGTAGTCACGGTGAGCAGCTACGTGCAGCAGTACCCGAAGAGTGGTCATCTTCGGGGTGGGAGAGAAGGTCTGAAAGTAGTCAACTCCCTGCCGCTGACTGAAGCCACGAGCCACGTAACGCGCCTTGAAGACAGGCGGAGAACCCGGCGGTCGCTTCACCCTGAAAATCCACATGCCACTGACGATGTTCGCCCCAGGAGGGGGAACAGCGTCAACGTAGGTGCCTGTGGACTTCCAGGAAGCCATCTCTGCGTCCATAGCTGCCTGCCACTGAGAGGAGTAGGGACCCTCTATCGCCTCCGCGTAAGAGCGCGGAGTCGGGATGTCAAGTGCATCCGGGTCTCCCTCAGGGGTAAGCAGTACGGACACGAGATGAGGTGAAGCAGCGGCCAAGCACTGGAACTCCTCCTGCCTGTCCTCAAGGACGTCCGTGCCAAGGGCACACTCACCCCCGACGGACGGAGGACAGACAGACTCAGACTCAGTAACAAGACTGGCGACGTAGTCTAGGCGACAGCGAGCAGCAAAGTCGACGAGCTCAGCAACTAGAGCAGACGCAGCAGTGGACTCAAAGGAAGGGTCAGTGACAACCGTAGCAAGGAGACGCGTGACAGTAGGACTGGCAGCGCGAAGAGAGTCCGACTCCGGGTCGGCAAGAGTAGGAAGAGAAGACTCAGGAGGAGAAGGCAAAGGGGCACGCAGAGGAGCAGTGGACGGACGCAGAGACATCCGGTGCGTGCCAGGGACAGGAGGAGGACGCTGACGCGAACCGCGACCACTAGTGCGAGCAGCACGGACAGGCGACGCAGGGCGAGACGCAGGCTCACGACGCTCAGCAAGACCTCCAGTAGGACCAGTGTAGGGAGACGGAGCAGGCAGTGGGGAGGCCGGCTGTAACTGTAACTGCGACGGGACAGGCTGTGGACACTCTAAGGGAGGAGGAGGACCAGTAGAAGGCGGGAGACCAAGAACCTGCTGAAGGAGCGGAACGAAGTACGGCCGAGGCCGCGCGGCGACTCCAGACACAGGAGGGACAGCACCAGCACCCGCAGGGGCAGCACCAGCACCAGTAGCAGCTCCAGCTCCAGAATCCCCAGCAGCACCAGTAGTACCCCCAGCAGGACTGCCTCCAGGACCGACAGCAGTAGCCTCCGCGCCAACACCCGCAGCAACTCCAGCTCCAGAAGTACCCGCAGGTCCAGCAGCTCCAGAACTCCCAGTACGAGCACCTCCGGGACCCGTGGCACCAGCTCCCTCAGAAGCAACAGAACCTCCAGTACCCGCAGCACCTCCAGCTCCAGCAGCTCCAGCAGCTCGCCTCCAGCGCCGGGCAAACAACTCACGCAGCTCCTGGGGAGAGAGTGGCTCTCGGCGAGAGGGAGCACCCGGTGAACCGCCAGGCACAGCACCACCAGGCGTAGCACCCCCAGGCTCAGCACCTCCAGGCGTAGTACCCCCAGGCTCAGCACCCCCAGACGCAGCACCCCCAGGCTCAGCACCTCCAGGCGTAGTACCCCCAGGCTCAGCACCCCCAGTCGGAGTACCCCCAGACTCAGCACCCCCAGGCTCAGCACCCCCAGGCTCAGCACCCCCAGGCGTAGCACCCACACGCTCAGCACCCCTAGAGTCAGCACCCCCAGGCTCAGCACCCTCAGCAGCACCAGAGTCACCAGCGACCTCGACAGGCTCAACAGCGTCTACCTGGGACACACCTGAAGGGGCAGGACCCTGAGGGGGGAGGGGGTCTACCGGGGGGGGACCTGGTACAAGGAAGAGCGGTGGCGGGGGGAGGGACGGAGTGCGGTAGGGGAAGAGGCGGTAGTAGGGGACCGACTCGTCGAACGTGACGTCCTGGGAGGACAGAACACGGCGAGAGGTGGGGTGGTAGAACTGCCACCCTGGGGCGTCAGGGGGGAAACCCAGGAAGACGCAAGGAGCAGCACGAGGGGACAGCTTGTCCGCAGACAAGTCGTGGACAAACGCCCGAGATCCCCAGACACGGAACGCAGACGCATCGCCAACCTTCCCCGTCCACAGCAAAGCTGGGGAGGTCTCCGGCATGGAGACCCTGGGCTGAAGGTTGATCTGATGCGCCGCGTACCGAACCGCAAACGGCCACAGAAAATGGGGGGCAGCCGCATGCATCATGGACGTACGGGCGACGTCCATGACCATGCCAATGCGGCGCTCAGCAATCCCATTTTGCTGTGGAGAGTCCGGA